TAACAACTACTTGAAATCTTTAGACTAAGAATGAGGAAATAATGCTACTTTAAATGGGATTAGTTAATACTGACCTCCTATCTTGTAGAAGCAGACGAGAGTTAGAGTTGAGCAATGCACGATTAATGTTTCCAGGAGCGAAATGAAAATGGCTACTAGTCATGTCACCTGGCCTAACAATGCAAGGGCAGATGGGCATCAACTCTAGCCCAACGCCAAGCTGCAAAACTCTGCCTGTTTCTGTTGGGATTTCAGTCAGTCACCAACTGTGACTGTTGTGAGTGCTGAAGAAAACTACCCTAAGACTACAACTCTTCAGGGCCGTAGCAAAATCTCTGAAGATGAGTGAGATCCCAGATGATGATTTCTGTAGCCAGTTCATCACCTGGAGCCTGGATACAACAGCAAAGGAAAAAGGAACATTCAACCCAAACAGTTGTGACAAGAAGCTTTTGGGGGCTATTATGGCACAGAGGTAAAAATGTCCATCCTGGCAAAATATTACAGGATTCATAATCAGGTCCCAAAAGAGGGTTCATTTTGTTCTCATTCTTCCTCTTCTTCTTTCATTTATCTTTTTTAACAGTACCAGAAAAAAGGAAACCTATCGCCCCTTATGTTTGTCATATTTTTCTTTCAGGAACTACATTTCAAGACAGAATGCTGACCGTAAGTTGACTTGATATCCAAAATGAAAGAGGGCAAGGCCCAATACTCTTCAACATCTTTATAAATGGTTTAGATGAAGGAATAGAAGGGATGCTCGTAAAATCTACGAATGAGACATACCTGGGGAGGAGGGGTGCTAACCCCTCAAAAGAGAGGCTCAAGACTCAGAAGGATATTGACAGACTTGAACGTTGGGGCCTATCCAGCAAAATACTGTTCAGTGGTGAGAAATGTAAGGTTCTGCATTTAGGCAGGAAAAACCAGATGCAGAGTTATAAAATAGGTGGTAGCTGTGAGAAATATCTCGGCGTCTTGGTAGAGTGCAGATGAAACATCAGCTAGCGATGTGCCACAGCTGCCAAAAGAGCCCATGCTGCTTTGGGCCGCACCAACAGAGATGTAGCAGAGAACATGGGAAATGCTAGAACTACTCTATGCTGCACAGGTCAGACTGACCCTAGAATATTGTGTCCAGTTCTGGTTGCCACAATACAAGGAGGATGCTCAGGAATTGGAAAGAGTGCAGAGAAGAGCAATGAAGACGGTGAGGGGCTTGGAGTTTAAACCCCACAAAGAGTGGTTAAAGGAACTGGATATATTTAGTCTAAAGAAAAGAAAACTAATGGAGTCATGGTAGCAGTCTTTCAATAACAGCTGTCACAGAAAAGAGGGTGTGGATTTATTCTCCATAGCATCTGAGGGAAGACAAGAACCAATGGATGGAAGCTTTACAGAGAGAGATCCAAACATGAAATGAGGAGGAATTTCCTGACTGTGAGGAACTCCAGCAACGGAATGGCCTGCCTGCTGAAATTATGGGGGCTCCATCACTGGAGGTTTTCAAGCCAAGGTTGGACAGCCATTTGTCTGGGATGGTCTGATGATTCCTGCAACGGGTAGTGGCTAGACTTCTTGAACCTCCAAGATCCCCTCCAACTCTATGACTCTATGATAGGTCTACCTGGAAACTACACTCTCAGACCCAGAATCCTGCCAAAGGTGGAAGTGTCCAGAACAGATGTGGTTCAAGGTGGAATCATATGTCACTACTACGCGCTTCTCAAACCATTGTATATCTATTCAGTATCCTCTCCTCCAATTCTCCACAGTCTCAGAACAAATGCGGTCTTTCCAAATCCAGGCAATGCCAGAGGTTGAGCTGGAGCCCTCATACACAGTGAAATATCAGTGAAATGCAGTTCTTTGAAAAAGCTTCATGCCTTAAAATCGTAACAATCAAAATCCTTAACAGAATTCATAGGGCCCCTCAAACACCTGCAGATACCTCCCTTGACACTTGCAAGGCTCCTTGGTTATCTTTAATGTTAATATTAATCATGGCAGCCATTTAAGTCTGGCTATAGCAGCACCCATGCCATGCTCTTAAAATTCTGAGTATTACCACTGGGAAAAAGATAAGAGATCTTTGAATTAGCTTTTTCTAGATACTCTGGGTGGAAAACACACTCTGCTTTAAACCCACTTGAAGGTGAATAAGAACTCTCATGACATCTTATGAGTTGCAATTACATTTAATGGAAACATTTGCTCTCATTGTCAACTCATTTTTCTATCTATATATGCCTTTGTGTCAGCAACTGCAAAGACCCAAGTGGTCTACTCAACTTTATATACTTACTTTAAAGCATCAATTGTAACCTCTTCCTTTCAACCATCCAATTTGCATTTTTCTTTGAATCTCAATTGTCATTTACACACAAAACCCAGCCCACTGCTTGTTCAGGAGGGATTATCAACTAGAAGTTGGAAGTTGAGTTTCTCCAACTCTTGGCCTATTAAGTTGCCTTATGATTCTTGATCTACAACTCAACAAATGTATGAGACCAGGATCTCTACCTGGGAACTGGGAAAAAAGTTTCCAGAAAAGAATGAATGAGAAGAATGAATGTCAGGATCCTTGCGATCAATTAACCACGCTAATGGCCAGCTTGCTTGCTTGCTTGGGTTCTGCCATTAAGAGACATGGGGGGGGGGGGAGGTTGCTGGAAGGCTTGGGAAAGATGGATAGATGAACTGACTGTTAGAGGCAGATGGACTGTTATAAAGGAATGTTCAAGGTTGTACCAACAAGCGAGTGTGAGAAGACTGGGAGGTTAGGGGGGTGCAGGGGGAAAGGAGGAAAAAGGTAAAAGCAACATTTGGCGCATGTGGGCTCAGTCTTAGTAATGCTTTGGAACTGTACACTTGTTCTCAACAAATGAACTTTCTTTTGAACCATGACTGGTTGCAAGGAGAGTTACTGGAGTTGTGAGTTGTGAGTGGCAGATCATTACAATGAGTTCCAAAGAATGCTTCAATATCATGGCAGGAGAGAACAAGACTATACCATATTTTAAGCCCCAGTCTTTTCCCCAATAAAAAATGTACTGGAAAGAACCTCTTCAGCTTTTATTAACTAGTGAACCAAATACAGAAGAGGCATTTGGAAATTCCAGCATCAACTTCAGAGTCCTCCCTGAATGTTCCCCGATGATCCCAGTGTTGGTAGTCTTTAATAGCAATGACCTTCGGTGACTTCGGAGAGAGGCACCTCACCTTCTTGAACACATTTTCCCTCACTTTGCTCCTTTAACACATCACTCAAACCACTTCAATAAAACAACGATCATGCTGAAGGGAAGTCTCGGAGGAGGAGATGACACACCAATTAACAAAGCACAGAGAGACAAATTGTTCCATGCCTCCGACTCGGGAGACAGGCAAGGCAGACAAGGAAAAAAGCGATGGGAGACTGTGTAAGGAGAGAGAAAAGTTGGCCCTCCCTTGTCAAAGGTAATGGTGCTTCACCCTCTCCATCACAAACCTGGAAAATCAACCTGTGGGTGCTGAGCTATTTCTGTGATGCTAAGACACAGGAAGTTGAAGCTTCCTCCCATTTTACCATCACAACTGTGATATGAGGTAGCTTAAGCAGAACAATGAGTGCCGTGGATGTGCTGGGAAAATGAGACCACAGCCAGCCACAAGCAAGAAAACAATTCCTTTGCCACCTGAGGCCCACTTGCCAAAAGAGTTGTCACACCACAGATGGTCAACCCATCTGATAGTGGAGGGAAGACCTTCCAAAATGCTTTATGGGGAGGATGCCCTGGGGGTATAAGCTCTATCCAGTGTGCTAGGAAATCTTCACAGAATGAACACTCTTAATATGGACCTTTGTAATATTACAAAACTGGATCTATGGATTAGCCCTGGTCAAGCAACACTCAAATCTCAGAGCCCCTCCTCTGGCACCAGAAGCTCCTGTAGCGTAAGTGTGAAGGAAACACAGCGTAACACTCAGCATGGGGCACAAATTCTCTCCACTTCTATTCATTTATGAATTAGGTTTAAATACCAGGTTTTCACTAAAAAACATGCTCAAAGTGCCCAGGAATAAAAATACAGGCAAAATTTAAAAATTCATGAAATCCCTTTAAACATCCCAAAAATAAACAGCATCCCCCAGAGCAAAACATCCTTTAAGGAAGAACCAGCTAAATGGTGAAAAGTCTGTCTGTCTGGACTGATTGTGATTCCCCCAGCCAAGAACTAACCAGGGCTGACCCTGCCATAATTGGGCAGCTGCTGTTCAGACGACAATCACAACTAATCCCTGCGATTCTGCCTCTTGGTCTCCCAAGTCTTGCCTGTGCTCCATGAAGAACCCGGGAGGACAAAGCCAGGGGAGGCCTCAGTTGTACCCAATGAGACTTCATTCCAGGGCGGCCCATTTCCCCAGACTGAGTCTGTGATGGTTGTAGTTTTCTGATTCACCAACTTGGCATTCAAGGAGGACTGACAACTAGGCCAGACAGACCATCTCAGCTAGAAGGCAACCTGAGTGCAATCAACGTTAGGCCACCCTCTCTTCCCCATAAGGCTGAAACGGCCTCCCCCTGCCCTATAGCTAAAGAACTGAAGGAGACTATGGGGCCTTTCACCCAGGAGGAGGAACACACCCATTCTAAGGCAACGGGGAATCAGAAAAGCAACCACTGCAGGAGGTGCGCAAGAACATGCTCTCAGGTGCAGGCATACTGGCAGACGTGAAGAAATCTTTCACCCGCTGCACCTGTGACACCTCAGCTGTGTGACCGAAGGCCTGGCCCTCTTCAAACCCTCACTGAAATATTTTTTTTCCTCAGAAGAGACCAGGGAATAGCTAAGAATGAAGACCTGGACATCACCACAAAGACCCGGGCTGACGCTCCTTCCCCCAACCTAGGGCTGATGCAAGAGTCTTTTTTGGCTTGTTGTTCATTTCATTTGCAGTTCAGGATTAAAAATGTTTTTTTAAAAATAATGGTCAGAACAGGCAAGGTACCCACCTCCATGAAGGAAATTCCTAGACTCCAAACATCAGAATGAATGCCGTACTGTTCTCCGGAAATTCGTTCTGGCTGTTAAAAACAAATGGGGAGAGGGGACAGTTGAACCTAACGAAATGCCAAGAAACAGTGACGTGATATCCTATAAATTATGCAAGAAACAAAAACTCACGTTTCAGACATTCACGAAGTGCCTAAAGGCATTTATTGCCTCCATTTACTGTACTAATTAATACCAGCAAATTTTAATTTTGATTCCCCCTGCTGCTTCGGCAGAATGTGGGAGTCAGACCATAAGGGCATTTCGCAGGATGCACCGGAGGACAGAGTCCGAGGACCAACCCCTCCCCTAGGTTTTGGTACCCCAAGGAAGTGCTTGAATAGTTTCATCTGCACCCACAAACCCAGAAGCCCAGCTAACGAAAACCCTAAAGCTGTGAGGCTGTGCCAGGAGCCTCATCTGAGCCTCCACTCATCATTGGGCGTAATACAGCTTAACGTGCTGGGCAAAGCCACATCTGAAGCTGCTGCTGGAGCAGCGCCTGGGTCAGACCCAGCGTGCCTTCTGCAAACCTTTCAGTCTAAACAGCCCAAGAATGCTCTGCTCCCCGACGCAATCCGTAACAGTCAAACTGGCCAAGGGCTTCAGGGCTCCTATTCCCCTTCCCTGTAAGCCAAACTCTTTGCCCAAATGTGCTCTGGATCACCTACCTGCAAGAAATGGCCCTTCCCTTCTGTGTTTGCACATTTCTAAGCTTAAGCAGCGTCTCGATCTAAGTGTCATTGGAGACCCATCGTCCTGTAACTACTGCACCCCCACGCCGAATTTAAAGAACTTCCTGAGAGGCCCCTAGAAGCAGTATATGAGTGCTCCAATCCTATTCCCGACTTCTGCTCAGATTACAGCATACTTAATTATATGCAATAATCAATGACAGTAAAATATGTCGAACCGCTCAGAACCTCATTTCCTTGCTTCTCTTCCTCACGTGCCTAATCCCACATCTCCTCCCTACCTCGAGCAGGTGGTGTAATTGCCTGTCTGCACTGAGCAAGCAAGAATTCAGCCTTCATTTAAATGTTCCAGAGCTAATGTGGATGGCAACCTGCAAATCAAAGAGGCCTGCCTCACACCAATTACGGGACAGTTTAATTCCATTTGAGTCAGCAAGGGACACCAAATAGCCAATCACTCCTTTACTTAGAAGCTGGGCTGTGGATTGCTGGGGTCAAGTACAGTGTGAAATGCAACAATAAAACGAGGAGGCGAGAGCTTCCTTCCCACTGTGCTGTTAATGCACCTGTCTAGTTTAGGCACCTTGTACAACTCCTCCCCGACTTCTACAAAGCCCAGAAACCTTTAGAGGAAAACAAATGGGCCCAAATTAGTGCCAGTCCAACGTGCTCCACAAACAAGTCCTTGCAGCTGTTAATCCCAGGTCAAGAGCTTTTAGCACCAAGTAAACGTTAAGTAAAAAACACTGAACAGAAAGGCCTTTAAGTCCCCAAGCAGAAGCCAGCGTGGATAGCAGGGCCGGGCAGGGCGCTCAAGAACCGAATTCCAATCAGTTTAGGTGACTAGCGGGGCTTGATCCGGATCTCCTCAGGTCCTGCTGGGACGCGGCTGGACATGACTTCCCTGCTCTCTGTGCTGCGATGGCTGCAGGCAAACGACCCTGGAAAGCAGCCCCAACTTCTGTCCGCCGTAAAGGCTCGCAGCTTCCTCCTCTGTCTACTGCGGTGACCATTACGCCCACTAGAAAAGTCAAGGATGTCACGCAGAGGCATCCTAGTAAGGCTTGCGTCAGCCCAGAGCTGGGGAACAACAAGGCGCTCCTGCTTTGTCTTTCTGTCCCCTCATCTAAAATCCAGCAAGGCTTGGTGTTCTTGTTGGAAGTCTGATCAGATTTCAGACATTTCTTACAAAATGTACTTCTTTTGGGAGTGGAGGAGGTGTGTTGGATCCATGCTCTGTCCTGGCACATTTCACACAAGACAGAGCTTTTCTTGCATCACTTTGAACACCATGCTTTGTATATCATCTACAGTATATTTATTTATCTATAATGAAACCATGGAATTTACCCAGGTCTGGGAATTTTTCTGCCACTTAACTTCTCGACCTTTTTCTTCTTAAAAATAGAACTGTGGGCACATCCCCATCTCCCAAATACCTTGAGTGAAATCTGGCAAGTTTATCTATGGTTATTCGTGGGTCTTGCTATCAGTTTGTCATCCTCGTTTCATATGTGGAGCTGTTTTTCAGGAGTTTTGTTCTTAATCTTTTAAAATAGAATTTAATACAACTTTAAGCGAAGAATCATACTGGGAAGCAAGCTTCCAAGGACAATTTTACAGCATTGTGTCTGCGGTCATGTTGCTTAAACACTGTTTTCCCTAAATCCAACTGCTGATGCTCTGCTGAAGGGCCAGAAGGTTGGCAAAAGCACTTTTGACCTCTTAAGCAACATTTTCAAGTTGCTCCCATCCAAAGCAACAGCAGGTGGACTACCTGACATTTGAGATGACACTTTGTAAATGTCTGAAAGCAGATGTTGTGAAGCAGTTGGCACATGGGCTTCCCCTCACTCATATCTGTATAAGAACTGCAGAAAGAAACATGTCTTTGAGATGTGCAGCTCCATGGATATGTTTCACAAAGGGACTTCTGGTCATAGGTGGAGGCTGAGTGCACTATTGGAAGGGTTTGGTTAGGAGCTTCTCAAGGAAGAGAGTTGTCAACTAGCCTTGAAGGCCTGCATTTTATTCAGTCCCATGTCAGCACTCTGAACAAAACAAGGTTGGCATGAAGCCTCCAGAAAAGTTACATTTTCAACCTCAACCTGATGGCACCAGATGGAATGGGATACAGTTTGCTTCTCCGACTTCACTCTCAGTGATATACCTGTTTTTCTTTCAAGATTCAACCCCCCTCCAAAAAAAACTTGGATGAAACAAATTATGACATTTAACAACTGAAGAACTGAAGAAACATCTTACAGCTTTAATCCTCCGCTTTTTCAATTAGCAGATGGATGCATCACAGTCATCCATAAACAGTAGGAAAAAAAGTAATTTCTTTAAGGCACACCTGGGAAATGGATGTGTAATTGAGGTTTGTACATTAAAAGAAATAATACAATTTAATTATTACTGCTATTTAAGGCCAACAAGAGGAACTGAAGAAAATAAATTATTTGAAATCTCTTCTCATTTGAAGAGCACTCCTGCTCTTTTGGAGACCAAAGTTAGGGCAAGCACTTAGGTAGATAGTCCAAGACAATATATTTGAGCTTCTTTATACATTCTACTGTCTTTACTTAAAAAGTTAGCAAACAGAGAGGGAGAAACCAGAAAAAGATAAATATACGATGGGAAAAGAAAGAAAGAAGTGTCTGAGACAACTGTAAGTTGAGATTCCCCATATTCTTGCTTGCACAAGAAGAACATGAGAAAGATTCCTTCTCTGAACAGAAAGTAAATGGCAAGAAAGATCCTGCATGGACCTCGTCACTCCTGTGAAGATGGTGACTGCATCTGATGCATTGACACCATCATCCGTTTTCATCTACAGGCTTCCAGAGTGACAACCAAAACTACCTTTGTTAGTTTGCCCAAATGCAATTCATGGCCAAACATTATTCAGATTGGAACCAGGCACCATGTCGTTTTAACTGCTTCAATGAATAAATCACAGTTACCTTTGTTCACAAAGCACGCTTAGACCTGAACTATGGTACAGAAACCATACTGTCCAGGTTCATACAATATCTAAGCACAGCCCACATAATGACTTATTGCAATGTGGAGTCCATCATTCTCTTTCCTGGAAGCAACTTAAACACTGTCCTGTGAGCCAGAGCAGGAAGGGAATGGGTCTGCACAACAGAGAAGGAGAAGCAACAGCGGTGTTGATCAGGCAAGAGAGGGCGTCATCCCCCACAACCAAAGAACATATCACCCATCAATTAAGCACCAAGGTGGACCTGTCCTCTTGAGGTCCCAGATCAAGAGGACTTCACTAGATTAACCATGGACCTCAGGCTCAGATGTTCCTGATTTAAGTCCCAGAACCTCTGCTACGGGGCATCAAGAATTACTGTCCCAGCACGCCCTCTCCAGTCAGCCATCTACATGGCCCAGAGGCTAGATGTGATAATTTTTTCAACCTGTTGATTTCCGAAGGCAAGCTACAACAATCTACCCTTGGTTTAATGTTATTCTAGTGCACATTATTTCTATAGCACTTTCCAGCATTAGTTTAGTTTATTATTATTGATTAGCCATTAGACCTTGGTTCAAAATAGGGAAAGGTGTACGACAAGGCTGTATACTGTCACCCTGCTTATTTAACCTATATGCAGAGTACATAATGAGAAATGTTGCTTCAGTGATGCTATCTAACCATCTCATCCTCTGCCGTCCTCTTCTCCTTTTGCCTTCAATCTTTCCCAGCATCAGGGTCTTTTCCAAGGAGTCCTCTCTTCGCATTAGGTAAGCTATGGCAAGCCTAGATAGCATATTAAAAAGCAGAGACGTCACCTTGCCGACAAAGATCCGCATAGTCAAAGCTATGGTTTTTCCAGTAGTAATGCTGTATACTGTCACCCTGCTTATTTAACCTATATGCAGAGTACATAATGAGAAATGAAGCTATGGCAAGCCTAGATAGCATATTAAAAAGCAGAGACGTCACCTTGCCGACAAAGATCCGCATAGTCAAAGCTATGGTTTTTCCAGTAGTAATGCCTAATGCGAAGAGAGGACTCCTTGGAAAAGACCCTGATGCTGGGAAAGATTGAAGGCAAAAGGAGAAGAGGACGGCAGAGGATGAGATGGTTAGATAGCATCACTGAAGCAATGAGCATGAAACTGAGCAAACTCCGGGAGGCAGTGAAGGACAGGAAGGCCTGGCGCAATATGGTTCATGGGGTCACGAAGAGTCGGACACGACTTAACGACTAAACAACAACAAAGCCATTAGGCCATATAAAGATACAGAGTATAAAACTTTCCAGCATTATTAAGATGCCTTTCAGAGATGGAAGCAGTTTTCTTAGGCCCCTTAGCTAGACTAAGGATTCATGCTACAACAAGGAACCTTCCCAAGAATGTCTTTATGGATCAAAAACCTTGGGCATCCCTGACTTTGGTGCTTCATGTTTTTCCAGGCATACATACAACCAATGCAGCAGAAGGGCTGGGCAGTTTTTAAAATTTATTTTTATTTATTTATTTTACAGGTGAATGGGGGGAGCTGCTGCCCTTGTCATAGTAGATATACAGACATTTTTACTTCTTTTTCAACTATCTATCTATCTATCTATCTATCTATCTATCTATCTATCT